GCACTGAAATATCAGCAGGCATAATATATTTTAAAACTGTGTAGACAGTCTGAGCAGTGCTGGCCTACAAGTAGTTGTTTCTTTTATTGTGAAAGGATTAAAAAACAACTGTTGCCTTATTTATTTCCACCCTTATATTGAGGGACATTTGCAAAGATGTCATTTGCCAAAAGTAATAATACAATAGTACTTAAACCTTTTAAGCCTTTAATTTTCTTTCAATCAATTTTTTTGTAATTCAAAGTAACAAACTCCAAATATCATGATTTCTGTGTTCCATTGTATAGACCTTAATGTGCATAGTATGAGCATTTATGAAATTCAAGTAAAACGCAAACTGCCATCCTGTAAGTGCAGATATAGTATCAATATTAGCTAGAAGGTCAGAGAATGTGACTTTTGAGGGGTAGAGTGAGTTTGTGTGCTATACAGAAAGTAACAGCAGTTAGTCAGAGATCTATGTTAATACGTTGTGGGTTTATTTGGACAGAGCAGCTGGCTAGCTGTGTGTGTTAATCGGGGACTTTTACACTGCCAGATTGATGGGTTCCTTTACTGAGGATTACTTTATTGTGATTTCCTCTTTTTTTACTCAAACGTTAAACAAAAGGAAGACTATGATTTAGAGATTTGAAACATGATTATTTGGACGGCACATTAATGTTCTACAGCTATGACTGCCCCTCTACTGTTTCATAGATGTGGTCATCGCAGAAAGTGTTGAATGTTTTTCATGCAGGTGCAAATATAGATCCAAATGGTGCATTTTTTCAGGATGAAAATATTTTTATTAAATTATGAACTATATTTTATTTATTTTAAATCAGTGAGGTTTTGTTGATGTAAACTATAGTCAAAAAGCAATATCTTATTTTGCACTTAGGACGGTGTGGGGGGAAATAAAAGTGAAAATTTTACAACAACTTTGTGTACATGACATTTCATGGGCAGGTTATTTTCTGTCTTCTTGGAACTTGTTGTGATATTGTACACATTCAGACTCGTTCTTTCAAACTTCGTTTGAGTTGAAAATAATGTTTCCAAACATTAAACACCTTTTTAACGGGATTACAGCATCATATTACTGAATATTTGTCTTTGTAAGTGGTTTCAAAGTGACGCCTGTGAGATTTCTTTTTCTTTTTTTTTTAGACTGAGCACCTGCCAGTCGGAACATCTGTGGAAGCTTTCGGGTTTCTTTGACCACTATCCAAACACCTTTTGAAGTGCCTTAAACTGCTTTCTTTGATTAATGAAAAAACAACGTTCTTTTATCAGGTACTCCACTCTGCCAAAACGCTTCTGTATCTTGGCTACCCCTCTTCTTTTTCACATATTGGTCATATTGGTGGTCATTCTCATTTATGACCATGTTTCCTTCAGGTTGAATTAAATTGATTTTTAGAGTCTCTAATTTGTTGCGATGTATATATTTTGTATCTGATTTTTAAGGATACATCCGTTGGTTGTTTTTTTTTAGGTGTCTTTTTATTTTTATTTGTCTGAGTTTAGTATATTGTAACAGTCCACATGTCATCTTTGTAGCCAAGATAGCAGCTCATTGAACACGTTCTCATGTATTACTGCAATACTTCAAAAAAAAATATGTCTGTACAAACACACGATATTTTGACATGAAAGGAAATATTTTGTGCCGTAGCTTCAGACCATAAAAATGTAGCCTAAATTGATCAAATGTGCTATGAAGCCATGTTATCCACAAATAAAATTTCGTCTTGAATATCTCTGCTTGCATGTCTGATTTTTGTTTTTACATTACTATTTATTTTTAATTATTCTTAATTGCACACTTTTTAAAATGTTTTTTCTCATCGTTATCCTTTTTGGTGTTTCCATATAACGTTTTTTTTTTGGTGACCAGTGTCAAGTTTTTGGATCGCAGGTGACGCCAGTAATGTGACGCTCAATGTTTGCAAATGTTTCACACTTGTGTATTGCCATGGTTACAGACCAAGCGACCACTTCCAGTCTTGAAAAATGAAGTCAATGCAAAATCCTGCAGTTCGTCGAGGTTCCTCTTGAGGCTGGCTCCAGGAACACCGGAAGTCACATTCACACAATTATTCAAAAAAGCCACTTTTACAGCAGACATTAACATGATAACAGCCTGGTACAAAAAGCAAGATTAGTAATTGTCATCACTGGTACACGCTGCACGGGGCTTGATTTCTTTTTTTTTTTAAACGGCTCTGTATTGATTTTAAGAACGATGCATGTTATCCATAATTAGGAGCGTAGCTGACCTGATTGAAAGGTGGGCGCGCTGTAACGGTTCGTCAAGAGGCTTAAAACCCGCCTCAGCAACTTTGATCGTTAGGTTGACTGAAAGTTAGGCTGAGACAGCATTTCCAGCATGGCGGCTGCTGCCGATGAGCCTCCGGAGCCCCCTGCCGTAACAGATGGGTGAGATCATTCATGCTTCGTCCATTAATACTTACAGTCTTATGTTACAGACTCATACTATCGGTGGCCTAATCTGCCCCATTGAAGATCTCAATCTAACCCTTAAATCATGATTAAAAAATATATAAATATGAAAATAGGACTACAAATATTTTACGAATATTTCATACCTCACCTTTAATGGCATTTATAAAGCCATACAGAGCTAACATTATGACATAAGTAAGTACAGTGTTTGATTAAAGGAAATTTACCATTTTTAAGCCATAGTGGTGTTTGTTCAGCACTGAAATGATTTAATCTTGTTGGTATTGATGTGAAATGGAGTTATCAGTAAGGTTATAGAACATAGATTATGTGGAAGGGGTATAAAAACAGGTTTACTGTACATGTGGAACATATTTAAAAAATGTGTATGTAAGACTCTTCTATCGAAACTAGTCCACAAATGTTACTCTTCCTTCAATAATCTGAGTTACGAATCATCGTTGCTGTTCAAGTTTCATGTGGTTTGGCAACAGCAACACGTATCTTGGCTTCGGTATGTAGTAATTATTTAAGAACACACCCTTTCTGCACTTGATCTTTTTGGTAATTCAATGTGACCCAAATAAAACAAGATGACTCCTTGTTTTGTTTGTTTGATTCTTTTAAAGGTGTCCCTGCCATGAGTCATAGCCGAGGTGTTGACAAAAAGGTGCCAGGAGAAGCTGTACCAGCCCGAGGAGCTGTCGGAGCTTGTCCTGAGATATAATAGCGCTCCTATTTACTCACTGCTGCTCTACAGCCTGTACACATTGCTTATACAGTACACCCTGCACCGTATGAGCTCTCGTGAGTAATAAATCACACGTGCTATATAGGCGACTACTCTTTGAAAAAGCTCGAGGATTGGGAATTGAAACCTTGTTATTGTAATCATCTGAATCCTTTGTTGGCTGACAGAAACATTCATCCAGATCCAGTTATTATAAATCAGCTTACAGGATGTACTGGGCGTTTTCTTTCAAGTGCAACCTGTTCTCTGAAACTGTGCTCACGACATGCTGCGCTGAAACACAGCAGGTCTTAAAATATCACTCTCCGCGGGTACTTGATATTAACAAAGCATTATGATATTACACTGAGGGACACAATGTTTTACATGGATGTTTAGATGCATAAGGGAGGTCTAATGGTACCAGCTTTTTTTTTAATATAAAGCCAAATGTATGTTGAAGTATGTGTGTGTGGTAAGTTAAAAGATAACACATTCACAGCTACAAGTTAAAAAGGATAATAAATAAAGGTACCAGTTTTTATATAGCCAACTGTTTGTTGAAATAAGTGCAACAAATTGAAGGAAGGCCTAACACCATAGACTGTTAGCCTAATACACTTATATTAAGAAGTTAAATTATGTTAGCCACTAGTTAATAAGTCCATGTGGAATTATTAAAACCGTAAACTTTTTATTAAATAACTAATATGTGCTAATAAAAAGATTAAAATGATACTTGAAACATGTGAAAATTGCATTTTCTTTGTTCCATCCATTCTCTGGTTTTCCTAAATGGAGTTGATCTGTGATCTGCAGAGTGATCTTGATCTAACAGCGGAAGATTGATTGCTTCTGTCTCAACCACGTACTTTGGGAATTTGCGGTATTTTGGGGAGATTCGACTACACCTGTCCCCCGACCAGCCTCTCAAGGTTGTTTTCTCCCGCTGGTGTTGATTTGTAACAGTATGACTTTGCTGTGGCAGCAAGAGTGTCCATTTAGTGTTTAGGTCATTTTAGAAAAAGGTTAAGTTAAGTGTAGCAGAGACGATAGGTAGATACCATTAGACTGTAAATATACACAGTCTATGGTGGGTACGAGTGGAGTCCCTGCTGGGTCACAGAGGAAAACCTGTAGCCTATGTTTAAGCTACTTAAATTGAAAGTCTGATTTATGTTGCAGGACCACTCAGTGTTTATTAATGTGTGTAAATAATTGCAAGTGAACGGGGTGTGTACAGTAGCAACGTTTCACTTCCCACCTCCCTGTAGGTCTGCATGTGTTACTGTGTGTTATTGTGAAAATAAATTATAGGCTTCAGTTTTAACTAACACGCCTACCTCTTTCATTCTTGAGTTCATTCCTTTTCTAATTCTCAATGACGAAACATTTTATTTTTATTTTTTATGTGAAGTCTATTTGTGGCAATATTTGCACTACAGTATGTACAAACCACGTACCTTGCACTACATTTATGTGTTTCTACCTCTTGTTTTTATTATGATATATTATATTATTTAACTAGGCTACTTGTAAATGGTTGACATGACAATCCCTTGACTTGGCCTGACTTCATAAGCAGCTGAATCAGATTTTGTAAAAGATTTCGTCCTCGTCATGTAGTGAGTGTTCAAGCATTTGTGTGCAAGCTTCTGTACTGGACATCACCTATAATTTAAAATGGTTTCCCCAATACCGAGATAAGGTTTCTGAATGCCAGAGAATGGGAGTACAGTACTCGGATGTCTCGGCGACATCCAAACCACATACCACCCGTCTCAGTCAGAGATAGCAACTAGCTCCGAATACCAGTGTGTTACATACAAAATGCAACTTTATTAACCTTCATGCCTCCATTCATATTGATATACATGTATATGTTTGAACTTATTTTAAATTTCACAGCTCCATCCATATGAAAAATACAGAGAAAAAGGCAAAACACTGACCGGATACTGAAACAACTCTTGAAGAAAAAAAAAAGAAAAAGTGTAACAGAAAAAAAAGGACACCTGTATTTGAAGTTCTTGAAAAATATCAGGATTAAAAATCTCTTTTACAGACGTGGAATATTCCATGAGAAGAATCTCCCTTTTTGAAGCGATGCTGAGCAATATCACAATTTTTTCTTCTTCTTTTTTCTTTTTTTTAAACCGGTAAGAATGAAAAGATCTGAATATATTTACACTACACTCACTTTACATAAATACAGGAACAACGATTACTGTACGTAATATCAGCAAACTTGAAACATAGGCATTGGCTTCACTACTTAAATGTTCAAAAAACCAGGAAATCAAAAGCAGATGTTAAAACAGGAAGTAAGAAAAGATATTGAACCAATAGAGACGTGTAAGATCATAATTCATTACCAAAAGGCGTCACTCTACAGCCACAGGATTCTTTTAATTCCTGGGTGTTCCTCATTTTCTTCCATTGAATCACCGCGTTGACTTCATGTGATTGAGCTGAAATATCAAGAGGCCTTTGTAACTCAACTTTGTTCCCCTTGGAGGAAGTGACTTATTGCAAGCAAAGTAATAACGTGAGCTATAAAACAGCCTGTGAAAGTGTTATGGGACGATGCTGCCTTTGACACGACGGCATAAGGCTCAGTGCGAAAAAAAAAAAGAAATTGAAACATTAGAGGTCCGACTTGCATAATGTTGTCTGTGCTTTTTTTTTTTCCAAAGAAGAAGAAGAGAAAAAAAAACAGTTTCCCATTTGAAATGTTTTAATTTGAGCACACATGCTGAAATCTAAAAGTCTGCACGAAGCAGCGGATATTACAAGTTTGCAATATGAGGCACTATTTTATTATTATTATTATTATTATTATTATTATTATTGCATAACTTTGACCCTGGTTACCGTTACAAAATTATGCTTTAAAATGAGGGAAGAGATGCTGACCCTGTCCTTTGGAGACACCGTATTCAATGTCATTGATTTCTTTCAAAAAGGTGGCATATTAAGGCATGCAACATCATATACTGAACACGAAGAGTACACGTGTTGTTGATATGTGCTTGATCTATAGAATTTCTTGTCTGGGTTATAGTAAAATAGCAACACAGGGGAAATCGAGTACCTTATTATGGTGGGTGTATATAAATAATTTGTCGGTTGTAGCAAACACTGGTTCAGCCTTGGGAATAAAAATGATTCGCTCATGAACTTTTTAGTTAACCACAAAAGCAAAGAAAGCAAACTGTTCTATCACATCAAGTATGATCATTTACACGATGAAACACCATTAGCCCCATCTCACTGTATATCAAATTAGATAAATTACAGTCTCTGAAAAAAAGACTTTACATGTATAAATGTATTTCCTGCGTCTACTAATCAAAAGCCCTATTTTGTCCAATGTATATATACAGGCTGTAGAACTTTGTAATAAGTTTTTTATCTCCACTATCACATATATTACAACATTTCAAAAGATCCTTTGTACAGAAGAAAAAAAAGAGTTCTATGCAATGATGAAGTGCCCCTCAATAATAAAATGTTCCCATACATTATATATGGAGGATAAAATAGGAGGATTATTTGTTTATAAATTGACATCTGAAATAAAATCATTTGAAAATCATACTAATAAAACAAACAAGGTGCTGATATGCTTTTTTTTTGTTGTTGTTGTTGCCAAAATGATAATACAACCAGGCATAATGACATGTGCACAAACAATATACATAAATAATGATTACATACGTTACCATTCTCCATTACAGCCTAAGGGCTGTCACATACAAAGTGTGGAAATCACTGCCTGATGTTTGAATGCTTCACTCAAAGGGAGGATTTTTTTTTTTTTTTAATTAAAATGTTCAGGTGTGTGTGTGGTTGTCACGGTGCTTTTATCAAAATGGGTGCCATTTCTCTTACTGGCTTCTGTCCAATAAATGCATTTAGCAGCACTTTAAAGTGCCGCAAATTGGCCTCATTCTGTTGAGTTTATGTCTTACACCGCTCGAGGAGTATTGGAGATAAAACATCTGTTATTATGGCGGTAAAGATATACATTAAGTTTAATTTAACTTCCTCATTATGGTAAAGTTAGAGTCTCCCGAGAGATAAGATATGACTGCCAGTAAATGCATTATGTTAATATAGATATATGTGTGTGTGTGTGTGCGTGGTTTCTTCAATTTTTCTACTTTTTAGAAACAACTTGGGTAGAACATTCTTTAAGATAAATCTTGTCGAGGTGGTAGCATTTCAAGTGACTTTTAGAGACAAAACAAAGTCGAGTGATTTGCAGGAACTCGCTGACTAACGCGTGTCAGATAAGAGCCATGTGCTGGAGCTAAAAAAAAAAACAAAAAAAAAACAATCCTTGCAGGGAATCATGGGAAAGAACGAGGAGCCAGACGTTTCTCCAATAGACTGACATCAGCAAACAGAACAACGAAGAGGAGGCGGACTTTCCTTCCCCTCACTTTGTTCTGCATGTATTGCTCTTCTGTTTTATACCTCAGGTAACAAACTATCCCTGTAACACTGCAGCCAACGCTGGATTCAGCTTATGGTCTGTGCAAAAAAGAAAAGAAAAAGAAAGAAAAACCACAACAGAAGTTCCTTTCATAACTGAGAAAACAGATCTGAAGAACAGGAAAGAAAAGGAGATCTACTGGGACAGAATGAAATGATGAGTCTGTAAGGTGCCTCTCGATTTTTTCACATACTGAAAATCTCCTCTGATTGTTTCAAAGTTCACTGTACATGAGGGGTTGTATTTTTTCTGAGTCCAACATAAGCGATAAGCAGGCATTTGGAAAAACAAAAATAAACAAAACATTTTCATACTTAAAGTATATTTATCCTTTAAGATTGCACTTTACTGATTGCTAATCACAGCACAAAACCCACCAAAGATTTGTTTTTCTTTTATGAGAAAATGCTTTCAAGAGGCTCAACATAAAGAAATGCACGGATGAGAGGTGAGGTTGTCCATAAACTGTGTGTTTCTTTGCTGGTGCGATGACATGAGTGTCCGCTTTTCATTGTCTGGAATGAAGCAATGCGTTTCTCAAACTGCAGGTGTGTCGGTGAGGTTGATCCATATTTCAGTGAATGTCTTCAGTTGTATTCCGGCGATGGTAAAAGGTGAACGTCCAGCCCTCTTTTTTGATTCTAATATGGCATGCCTCGGTTTTTAACAGCAGGCTCCAGCGGGAAAAGAAAAACCATCTGTGGTGAAATGGCGCCCTCTGCTGGTCAAAAATCGGACTCACAGGGAGATAACTGTGCAAGAGTATCTCCAGCAGGGGCTTAAAGCTTTTCCTGTTATCCATTCAAGGCCTTAAACTTCTGTCTGCTCCCGCAGGAAATGCCTTCCTTATAAAGAGGTCTTTCACATTATGAATGCTTTGAAAAGCAACTATTTGAATGAAAAGAAAAGATACCAAAAAAAAAAAAGAAACAGCTGCGATTGCATTATATATCTTTTTTTTGTCCGAAGAAAGAGTGCGAGTTCATCTTTAAAATCAAGGTGAAACATTTACAAACAGTGCTGTAAAAGACAGTTCCCTATTCAACTCCAAACAACGACGATAACAGATCCTGCCGTCTTTTCCTTCCAGCCCCAAAGAGGATTCAGAAGTGACCCTGTTTTGTGCTCCACAAGCCCTGTGCACGTCTCCATCTTCTCCCCTCGCGACGGATGAGAGTGTGTGTGTGTGTGTAAGTGTGTAAGTGTGTAAGTGTGTGTGCGTCCAGGCCAGCTGAAAAACATTCACAGGGAGATCCCGCTCCCCCGGCTGCCTGTGTGTGTGTGTGTGTGTGTGTGTGTGTGTGTGGTCTGTTTCATTGCTCTCTCTCTCTCTCTCTCTCGTGTTGATCTCTCTCTCTCTCCGTCTGATTCACACCAGCATGTGTCTCCGTCGGTGCAGGGCCAAGTGGTCAGATCTGGAGAAGCTGCGGTCACAGTCTGCACACTTGAAGGGCTTCACCCCCGTGTGTTTTCTGTAATGCCTCGTCAGCTCATCGGAGCGGGCGAACTTCCACGTGCAGCCGTCCCAGGTGCATTTGTATGGCTTTTCCCCTGAAGAGAGAGAGAGAGAGAGAGAGAGAACACAGTCAGAGGCTTGTAGACCACTTAATAAAATGAGTCACCATGATTAATGGTCAATAAAAGAATATCAAAGATAGAAAGTTTCTCTGGAGGCTCACATAGTGGATCATAAGATGTTTCAAAAGGTTTAGCAAGATGCTGAAAGCTTTTTTAAGATGTTTACAAAAATGCCTTTATAGCAACAGCACAATGAGAAGGTAACATTTTAAACTTTTATAATGCCAGGCATCATAGTTTCTATTGTTCATACGAGCTCAACAGGTTATTCAAGCCTTTCTTTACTTCCTGTCTCTATTAATCCACAGAAGGTGTGGTGTTCTGTTTACAGCACTTATTGTTGCGTTATCCCACGCACGTGTCTGTGCCTGTCTTCATGTGTGGTTGAGTTAGGACCTCGACTCATGTCATGGTTTGCTCTTGTTAGTTAGTTTATTCCTCGTTTGGTTGCTAAGTTGTCATTTCTTATTTGGTCATTTTGTCTGCTAGTGTTGCTTGTTTCCCGACATTGTGTTTTTTTCTTTTTTTATTGTATTATTTCCAACTTCAGTTCTTTATGTTTTCCTGTTTTATTGTGCCATTTCACCTCCCTCGTGTTCCTGTTTTCCTTGTGTGTTTCTTTACTGTAATATTCAGGGGCAGTATTCCTAAGAGCTCCTGGTGACAAAATTCTGAGAAAATATGACATTTTTTAAGAATTCCCTTAAAGAAAAGACTAGATCCTGGTAAAGATGAACGTTATTCACAAAGCTTCTGAGCCCTTAAGATAGCTCCTAAGGTGTTATGGTGCATTCATGGGGTGTCGGACACATCGGAAAAATGAGATTCCGAGTTGTAAAATGCAAATGAACGACTGCTCAGGTTGGAACAACAACTAGGAAACTCGAAAAAAAAATGAGGTGGCCGACTTGACGTCGTATTTGTCATCACATGGGGGGCAAAATATGTTTTGAAAATACTTTTTAATTTAATTCACAAGTATTGCACATCAACATTTTGCTGAAATATAACTCAATGTTACTGTGACTTTTCACACTTCTTCCTCTTAGCATCCATGATGTTTTTTTTTGCTCTTGTAACAATATTCTGACTCTATTCACTATTCCAAAGTGAAATCACGTGAACACACTGAAGTCGGAAGAACGACTTCCCAACTCGGAAAGAGGGACCATCCGAGGAGCGCATGAATGCAGCATAAAACTAGTAGTGAGGAGGACTTTTAACAGGTTTTTCAAATGTTAGTATCAAAGTATAATGGACTAAAGTGTTAACGCTCTGTATCAGAATAAGTCAGGCAGCTTTGATGTGTTAGGTATGATTTTTGAGCCTGGCCTTGATGACCCTTCATGGGAATCTTGTTTTGATTTTGTGCCTAACTAGATTCAAGTCAAGTTAAGATTTCCATGTCTGACCTTTGTCTCTGAATCGAGCTACTTAAAGAAAGATGTCAATTTATTGACGTTTGGTCATGTGTGGAAGTGTCTACATATGTATACGCTCCAAAAAGTCAATTCACCTGAATTGATGAGAAGATGCCTGGAATAAATTATTCACAGCAACATCTCTTCCATGTAAATATGCAAATCTTAACTTGATTTGTTGATGCTTTATTTCAAAATTAGAACAAATTATTTGTACTTTATTATCTTGTTCATGTTCTGTGATTTGAGACACCAAAAGCTCTGGTTTAAGTCTTGATTTGAAAATAACCTCTGATCGTTTCCAAATAATATTTGGCTCATCATCTAGAAATAAACTGAAGAGTAGATTTGGACTCTTCAGTGCACATTGAGCCTTAAATACACTGAGTAAGATAAAGTCTAACATTCTGAGCATGTCACTGACTTCACTTTATGTTTAACATCCTAATAAATAAAAAATATCACAGCAGTCAAAGCTTCACAGTGAGAAGTTACTGACCTGTGTGCGTCCTCCGGTGTGCTTTTAAATGGGAGCTTTTGGTGTACACCTTATTGCAGCCCTCAAAGTCGCATCTGTGGATTCTTCTCTTTTTGGACTCCGGAGACTCTGACCTGCGGGGGCGCCGTATGCTGTCAATACTGAACGGAGACATGGAACTGCAAGAGAAGACAAAGAAAAGTGGGAGATTTATTAGACTATGATCATGACTTTGACATATTTATTCTGAGTTGGTTTACACAATGAAGTGTGTTCATATCAAATATGAGCTCAAATAAACTCAATACGGTCTTTATGCAAAGAAAAAAGAAAGATTTTAGAGAACAAACTTCCTACTTTCTTTAGAGTTAAGCTTTGCATATTTTGCAAATTCCTGCACAACTACCAGCTTTTTCCACACACAAAATTCAACTTTATATTCGGTATCGTAAAAGACTTGTTGAATCACATCATTTATATATTTTTTCTTCCTTGCAGGCTCTGGTCCATGTGCTCTTTATTCTTATGCTGTGTAAATAATTTAAATTGGATGTGACCGCTACAACAAAGGAGAAATACACCATCATATATCAGTGTTTTATATATTTATGTTTCCTAAGCTTCATGTTTTCTCTCAAAATCAGTTGGATTCAATGTAAGAGAAAAACCATTTAATGTAAATGTTTTCTTTTACCTGTTTCTGATTCATACTTTTGATCATTCTGTGGATTAAACATTGTTTTCACACTTACTTAAAAGGAACTCTGGTACTGTACAACACATAGATGCATAATGGGAAGCAAGAAATGCCTCTTTCATTTTTTAAAGACAAAACGTTTATTTTTTATGCAGTAAAGTTGAATTTGTCATTTAAAAATGGCTGTTTTAGGCAGTGTTTCTCAACTGGTGGGTCAGGAGCCAATAGTGGGTCGCGTAGCTGTTTTCAGTGGGTCGCGAATGTGTGCATGGGCAAAAAAATGTGTGAAGTCTATTAAGCACTATTGTTTCATTTCTTTGTTTTGTCACATGTTTTGTACCATCTGAGGTCCAAACTGCACAAAGTTTTTATTGAATAAATCTGATTGGTTGAAAAGTATCAGAAAATTGGGTTGCAATTTTAGGAGAAGTTGATGGTGGCTCTTTTGAGGCTTGACCAGTTGGGAGTAACTGGTTTAAGAAACTATAGCCCACTAAATATTCTGCAGGTGAAGAGTGATGCAGTAGAAATGTGCTATTCTCATTATTCTGATGATTTTATACATATCACTAAAACACCACTGTATGCACAGTCATGTATTATATTTGTGTGCACATCCTAAATGTTAAGCAAGCTGTTTTAGGAGCTGTGCAGCAAAACACGTTGTTTGTAGTGTAATTACAGCAAAGGCTTTCTGCTTCACTTTGTTCTGTTCAAAAGGCGGAAAAAAAACTACTTCATTGACAATAGTGATGCATGTTTGAGTTCTAGTATACTACATGCAAGTGCTTTTGTGTCCTTGTGTTAGGACGGAGTGACACTTTTTGTTTCACAGTTACGGTCCAAGTGCTGATCCTGGGAAGTGTTTGGGTTGCGTAAGAGTATTTGAGTTGTGAGATGAACTGTTGTGCTGAGCTGAATGTTGGCAGAGAGACGTGTGAAGAGTTTGGAAGAAGTGAACTATCGTAGATGAATAAAAGACATCAGACAGCGCAAGTATTACATTTGTCTTAATTAACTGCCTCCATGCTAATTCTAAAAAAATAAACTGTAAACATTATGGCTGCAAAGAAATACAATGTACGGTAGTGCAGTAGCTCTGCCAGCAGGTGGCAGTGCAGCTCTGCTTTACAATAACTCAGAGGAGGTAAATGAGGTAAGAATGCTGCTTTTCTCATTGTTCCACTACTTTGGTCAATCAGAACGGTTTTATTTCTCAATACTGTCGATCGAGGTTAATGACTCCAGAATTTCTAATGTCAGCAATGGATTTTGGCATGACATTTCCCTCTCCGATAACGGATCAATATCACTCTTGATCGCATAATTAATCACTTCCAACAGTGGCGCTCTGCAGTAAAATGTGTGTTTATGCACACAAGAGTTGGAAGTTTAAGTGTGTGTGTTTTATCTGAGCGTCACATCTGTGGTTAATGTAAATGCACTCGGGCGTCACTTCTCTGAATATAACGCCACACACAAAAACACACACCCTCACGCACACACACACATATGGAAACTCAGGAAGCCACTAAAATAGGGCAGTGTTGTTGTGGTGGTACATGGTCATGTCTGGTTCATGGCTCATGTCTCGCCAGTGAGTGTCGACTGTAAAACAGCGAGCACCTTTCATGCAGGGATTAACACATGACTGCTGCACACACACACATTCAGACACACACACACACACACACTCGTTAAGTCACACATTACAAATGGACAAGAAAGAGAAAGATACAGTAGAGACAGAAAACAAGAACATCTCTGTTTACTAGATGGGAGGAGTAATATCTGTGGGATATATTTAACTGTGGTGGAGCAGAGTTGCTTTTCTTTTAGGTCTCTGAGTCCCCGCTGTGGATATTGAGAAACAGGTAAGAACAGGAGAGGAGGGGGCTGAACATCTTTAGTCATGTTAAAGGGATTTGAAAGAGGAGCCGGGGCTGCCAGACGGGCCCTCCAGTGAACCTTCTCCTCCTCCTCATACAACCCACATCCTGTCTCTGTGTGATCTGTCAAACGCAGACGCAGATAAACGCACGCTATCAAGATACAAAGACGCGAATAAACTCAAATACAGAGGACAAAAAAACGCAAACATGAGGATCACCTGTTGATTTTGGATTAATGCCAATCTGAAGCTGAACAGGAAACGAGGACACGGGTCAGATATGAAGCGAACTTCAACTCCCCTCTCATTTCTCTCTCGCTTCCTCCTCTCTAAAGTGTGTGTTCAGCACTAAAACAAAATGCCAAAACTCTACATCTACAGACAGAAGTGTCATCATAAAAGTGAAGGAGACAATGTAGACACACATCTAGAATCTGTGTGTGTGTGTGTGTGTGTGTGTGTGTGTCAGCAGTGAAGAGGAGAGGCAGGATTTACAGTGGAAACACTCTGAGCTCAGACGTTCAGCAGATGAGGCGGATATTTACACTCTGACTTCATCCCTGCAGTGACTCGCTGAGTATGATATAATTTAGGAAGGTCTGAGTACAACAGCTCTGAAAACAAAGGGCGAGTGATGACTCATTACTCATCACAGACTAATTCATTTAATTTACAACAACTGCTTGTCCACTGCTGACAAGGATTTTGTTAGCATCACTGCTTCACTTCAGAGGCTCTCGGACAGATTTTTTAGTTTAAGCCACTTTGGGTATATATGTAAATATGAGAAAAGATGTTAAGATTATCAAAAGACTCAAGATAAAACTATCATTAGAGTGACATTTTCTGATATTTCCAGGGCAATCATGGCATAATTAATTGAAGGATTTTTAGCAGCAAGAAATAAAGCAAGAATTGTTTCTGGGTTCAGCTTCAAAGTGAGAACATTCAGCTTTTGGCTGTTTTATGTCCCTGCAAACTGAAAATTGAGGGTTTTGGTGGATGGTTTGACAAAACTCTCATCATCCTATATGGGACTTTCTTAAAAAACAGGGACATGATACAATAGGATTCGGTCCTGAAAGATACCATATCCTACTATACAAAATGTAAGAAAACTTGTCTTGGACTCCATTACTGCATCTATTTGGTCAGCCTTTATCAAAGTACTTTTAGATAAATGGAAACAGAGAAGCACATACCAATGGCAATCACAAACAACATATATATCAAAGATATTTTTTTAGGAATTTCTGGGATACTTGGGTTAAATGTTTCCTCAAAAAGATAACAGACTTAGTGCACAAATGTAGTAATGGTTAAAGCAACTTCTACTGAAACAGGGCACTGCCCCCCCCATGTGGCCTCTTGTGATGTGCAAGGATACAATAAATCAAACTTCTTAAAATGCAATTTGTGGTTACCTTATCTAGGAGCTTATAAATGCTGTCACTTATGTGCCAATAAACTAGAACATTCTGTTCACCCTGAACCAGAACGGGCAAAACTGAAGGGTCCTACAGGACGCTTTTTTATGTATGACCGCTCGTACTGTAAGCAGACATTGTTATTGCAAAGACCAAAAGCTTAGACCATTGTCTTCCTCTACTTAGGCCTTTTTGTGTGTGTGTGCTCCCAATGCCTATCATAAACCACCGCCCAAAATAAACCAGCCTCTCACTGATCATACTGTGTCACTTCTGATCTAACTATTAAAGAGGACATACACTTTTACTTTTCTCATGTCTGACAGTTTTGGTTGCCAACATCATAGTTGTTCGCTACGTGAAAGACATTACTGGTCACCAACGTTGTTGTCGTTAATCTCAATAAAGAAGCTATTTGCTGCCAACATTAATACAGACTGTAGAATGCAACAAATTTAAGATATTTAGTCGGGGAAGAAGTTTGAAAAATCCTCATATAGCACCAAGTTTCATTTGCAGCTGAAGGATTTGTGCTTCTCTGTGGGTTGAGAGAATTTCACCACTACTGTTCTTCTGGAAGACGCTACTAGCAGTGTAGTGTTTCTATTTATATCTACAGGCGTACTGTACGTGTAAACACACAACACAGCACTGTGTTGCTCACCCTTTTTCAACTAGGGTGTTTAAACCTACACAATCAGCCACTACAGATGGACTCGTGCCATCACAGAGCATTGTTATGTGTGCTTATGCTCAGGATGGTAAACACAAGAGGCCAGGCGATAAGATATAATCAGGAGACTTTGGTGATGATAAGACAATATTGAGCTAACATACATTGTAAAATATTGTGATTCAGTCCCTATTTTAAACTGCCAATGATGCTGCCAAAGGAAAATTATAATATTTACTTCAAAAGAGATGCGCTCTTTAGTCTTAATTCAGTTTGTTTTTGCAGTCATATGGGATCTCTTGCAAACAGGCTGAGTAACACTACCATAAACCCTATTCAGACTGCTGTTTCAAGCTGCCATGTTTACGCTCCTGTGACGAATCGCCTTGATAAAAGGATCCCTCCTCTGTACCGTCTTCGGAGGTAGTAACAGAGGCGTTACAGAGGCGAGACGGGATCAGCCGAGCCAGCGGGGGAGAGCATTCACAGACTGGGACACCAATATTAAGCCATCTCAAAATCAATATGAATGTACAAACTCGTGATGTCGGCTGAGGTTAGTTAGGACATTTTCGCGGGGAAAAACCGCAGCCTGAAAAGGGCAATAGAAACATGCTGAGCTCGGTAGAAAAAAATGGACGGCCATCTTCTCTTGAATTCTGGTGTAGCAAGCAGTAAGTGATTAACAACCTCCAACCAAGACCTTCTTTTCTGTGAGCTGCATTGTTTACAGTCCCATTAGCACCTTCAGAGGCGGCCATGGGTTCAGCTTTGTTTGTTTTTTTAAACGGGATTCACCTCTTCAGATTTATGCTATTCAGGTGATTCAAAGTTTAACCGTAAATCTGAAGTTACAGGGAGGCTTCACGCTGGCTAACTTCAGCTTTATGAAGCCAAAAAAAGATAATGGATTTACCATGGGTTTGCTGAAATAACATCATAATACACATTTGTCAAATAAAGAAATGTAAGCTCTGTTGAGTCTGTCCTCAAGAGGAGGAGAACAAAACATCTTGATTGTGGAATGGGGGTTGGATTGATAGCTGCACTTGCAAAGGAAATTACTTGAGAGATACATAAATTGTTGGCTGATTTCAGCCAATAAGACATGTCTTTGCGTCATGCAGATTACACACTGTTTTTCACGCATACCCCAAAGCCTGCTGATAAGTGATTGGTCAATACTACTCAGGCTATAAACTTATTACAAATGGAAACAAGAACATTTCCAAGACATGCAAAACTTCTACTTCCAGTCCCCTGAGTACAGATTGTATTTGTTTAAAGTAAAATCAGTACATGGTGTTAAGAAAAGGTCATAATGTTTCATGTTGGTTATTAAAACAAATTATACTTTGCATCTGTGCAACGATACAATATTGCTATTCCAAATATCACAAGATATTCCTTTGCATCGTTATTTTCCCCCAGCTGAATGACTTTCTTAATAATGGGGCAAGTGAAGTAAAATCAGTAAACACAAAGTGGTCAGGATGTACAATAAGTCTTTTTGTCTTTATTACCACAAGTTTGGCCATTTGTAACATAGCTGTTTTGTGGGAATCAATTTGCTGTATTTTCTCATGTGAGCCCAGGGGCAAAAAACTCAGAGTCTTGAACTCTGTGTGTCACCAAGGCAACATGGCTGTGTGTGTGTGTGTGTGTGTGTGTGTGTGTGTGTGTGTGTGTGTGTGTGTGTGTCTCTCGCTCACTCTCAAAGCGGCAGCAGCAGAGAGAAAAAAGGAAGTGCGGCTGAGAAAGATTTCAAATAGAGCTGACCTCTGTTTAGTTCCTTTGTTTTCTCTTTTTTTTTTTAACTTCTCTTCATCCGCGAGAGACGAAAAGAGGGAGCGAGTGTGTGTCACCTGTAACAGGGGTTTCCCACCATGCAAACACAAACATATTTTCCAACTTCTCAGAGGACGCAGGGTCACAACAAAGGGCCGTTTCAACACAGAAACAGAGCTGCACGGTTTATCAGGAAAACAGGAAATAAAAGTGTTAATGTGTATGTGTGTGTGTGTGTGTGTGTGTGCAACTGTGTGTGTGTGTGTGTGTGTGTGTGTGTGTGTGTGTGTGTGTGTGCATGTGTCAGTGCAACTGTGTGTGACTGTGTGCATTGGAAGACTGCCCACTGGGCATTCCTGTACCTGTCTGAGGATACATTCCCCCTCCTGCCCTCCTTCCACCTGCTCTGCTCTGTGGCCCCCAGGTCTTTGGGGACCAGCCAGACTTCAGCAGACGCAACCCCTCCAACACAAGCCCCTAGACCTCAACACACACACACACACACACACACACACACACACACACACAGACACAAAATCACACAACACTCTCTTTCTATCTCTCTCTCTCTCTCTCTCTCTCTCTCTCTCTCTCTCGCGCTCCTTCTGTGTAACTGTCTTCCCCTCTTTCACTCGTGCTCTCCCACAATAGCCTATCCACCCGTCCCCAGGGAAACGCATGAATATGGAGGAGGCTGCCCAAGAAGCACATGACACACACAGACACACTCACTCTCCTTTCACTCATTTATTTATATATGGATACCTGGATTGGAAGCTGCAGGCACTCCCATCCTCCGCCCTAACACTCCTCTCCTCTGATGCTCTCTGGATGGATGCTTGTATAAATGTGGGTACCGAATTACATAAAGCTGTTCTTTCTACACTCACTGCACACACATTTTTTTTTTTTTCCAAAGAAGGAGGGGAGATACAGCGACTCGACGGACAGATAGATTTCAAAGAAGCTCCGTCGGCTTCTGTCGCATGTGTCGTGTCAATACAGAAACCATAATCTTACGCTATGTGGCCAAAAAAACTAGTGTGAAACTGAGTACGACTACAGACTGCTTTGTTTTTCACAGACAAACAGTCAAGTGTGTGTTCCTATTGACAATGGCTGACCTCCTTCTGGAACCAGCTGTTATGTCCACTGTGCAGAAACACGTGCGTACATAAAGTGCAAACACACTCACTAACACATACACACGAGAGGATTAATAGTTACAGACGTGCACACACACACACACACACACACTATTTCACACTCATAGGAGCACAGTTCTCCACGCAGCACAGTCTGCACTTTGCACACACAGCAGTGAGTGTGTGGGCAGGCCCTGGCAGGGCATTGCCAAAGCCTGGCTGGTGATTTCTCGCTGTGGTGAAAGCTCGGGCAGTGAAAGGTTGGGTCCTGCCAACCTCTGTTCTCCTCTGACCACCCGGTGCCCACGTGTGGCACTCAGGGGCACGCCTGTCCCTTTCAATAACCTGCACGGAAACCTGAGTCCTCCAGTGAGTGTCTATGACTGTGTGTGTGCGTGTCTGTGTGTGTGTGAGAGAGAGAGAGAAAGAGAGAGAGAGAGAGAGAGTGTTTTCCCTAGAACATGACAACCTCTACTTGTAGAACAGAACAAGCACAGAAAGAACTAGTTTCTACCACAATGTGTTGCAAATACAGACTGCATAAAACAAGTGGACCTGACTTGTAAACTACTTTTTTTAAGCCTGGATTTTTGGCCTTTTGGCAATCACCATCTTGTCTTTTAGAGCAATAAGTGACTCTATTTGGATACGTTTGATTTTTAAGTTGTTTCAAGAGCTGCAGTGATAAATTGATCTACAAATAGCAATGCCAATTTTTTTTTATTTTTTGCAATTTTCTGGTTCGAGCTTGTAAAAATAAAGGTTTGCTACCTTATCAGTTATAAAGGAAAACATTTGACTTTACTGCTGGCAAAAAGAAACAGTGCAGGTGTAAGGCACTTTTGAATTGGGATAAGTTTGAAACCAGGAGACCTCTTCAACTTCTTATGCACTTTCTATGGCTGTACAATGCTTGCACAACAACCCAGACTTCCATTACAGTAGATGTTACCACAGAAGAATCGTACACACACACACAGTAAAATGTCTTGTATATATTGTCAGCCCCAAAAGCTGAGTCATTACCACCAAAACAAAGGCCGCCGGGGATAAGCCACCATCGGCCTCAGCCTTGTTAATGCTGCTTCATCATTAGCAGGATTCTTACACAGTCCTGGAATACTTTCCTTACAGTAAGTCTGAATAAAAGTCCCGTGGGTATTAACTGGAGAGTCTGGCAGGGCTACTGGTTCTGACTGTTCTGGGTTTATGGGCGACAGGAGGGGGGGGGGGGGACGGCAGGGGCAGAGTCAAGTGTTTCACTGCGTCTGATTTCCTGTCTCTGATCAAGAGAGTCTAAGCTGTCATCAGCTGCAGAGGGAAGTCTTTTTCATTCAACACAGATGGACCGGCACCACAGGAGTTGTGATGTCTGTAGGCCGATCGGGGCATAAAGCATGTCTGAGCCATATGCAGCCGGGCATATAGATGCACGCCCACACAGACACAGGAGCATACTGAAATGCACTTTGCAAGGTTCCACACAGGGTTAATATGTAAACACTGCTTGATGTGACTAATAAAAAGCAATATCAGGAAAAAAACATTGAAATCTCTGCACCTCTCTGCACTCTGAACACTGTAATGTAAGAGCTCTTCTCTTTTTTGTTTTTATCAGTTTACAATAACATTCACATTGTTTGTTTCCGAAATCTTTAAATCCCTTCTTAAATTCTCTTAATCATCATCAGCATCATCAACTGCTGAAAACTGAAATTCTCTTAATATTTTTCAGACCTCAAACCTCCCCGGTAGATAAACAATGGGTAATGGCGTATATAAACATGGAAAAAGTGGTTATTGGCAGCCCGGACCTGGAACACTGCCGTGGACTGAAAGTTCAACACTCTGCTCGCACGCTTTTCAGTACATGGTCAAAGTTAATGCTAGTCCAATGTAGCACCCGTTTCAAATAGCCAAATTGTATTTGAATGATTTGCGATTTGTGTAAATAAAAGGGTAGTAGTTTAGAAAGTGAAACCATTTTTTTTTTTTAGATCTGTGACGGTCCGCAGAGGAGAAACAGTCACACATGTGGGCATAGATCATGATACTCACTCTTGTACAGCGCGGGCTATAGACAGCGCAGTGGAGCCGGTCTCGTTAACACTGTCCAAGGTCACGTTTGGCAGGTCGTCGTCGTCGCTGTCACTCTTGATCTGCCTCGGCGACAGGCCATTGTGGTCTATATGTGCTGCAAGGGTGGGACACAAACACTGGAGTCAAAAAAGGGAACATTCTGCATTTCTTATTGCGTGTGTGAATACTAAATATGTCCCAGTTAAAAGTTTATGTGCATGTTCTCTGTTCCCTCGCATGCGCAACTGACAGAGAACCATATTAAAAATAATGACAAACTTTGACATAAAAAAGGTCTGCAACACAAGTGCAAGTCCATCCACTCGCTGCTGGACTCCTTTTCACAGTTCATCCTGATAATTAGCAGGCTAGCTTAGTCCCCCCCCTCTCTTTGATTTGACTCTTTTTGCACAGTAACGAATCAAAAAAAAGTCGAACATTTGACTGGCCAGCATGCTATCAACCCCGACCCTCTGAGCCAATGAGCAGAGTGTTCTCTGTCTCCGCAGCTACATGACAGAGTTCCCACAAGTTGTGACAACTTCTCCCCTGGACAACTCATTGGATATATTGCCAGAGCCTGCAGCCATTCTGTCATCTCCCTCTCCATGGACACAGGCTGCGTACATCCTGGAGAGCTCAAGAGGCGAAGTTAAAAAAAATAAGAACCTGCCTGAGACTACTTGTCAAAATAAGGTTTCTGGAAATCCTCTGGGTTAAACACTGATTGACTTATGTAGCATTTCAAATGCAATACAGAAAAGAAGGAAACTTGAAAGCTGCATGGTGGAGATTTTACATGAAAAAAAATCTTGTTTCTGAAGATGTAATTATTGCAGAAAGCTATATTGTGATACATTTTCGCAGTTACAGTACGCCTGCTGCTTTCATGAGCTATCAGGATTTCACCTCCTCTGCCCTCTCAGCCGAGACTGTGGCCATAATGGCCCATAATAAGGGTCTACAGTTAGGAGCAGACATGGTGTTATTACTGAGGGGGAGATAGAAATGCTGCAACTCTGCGGGAGCTTTTGCTTTTAAAGGTTTCCAACAATTGTCGTGGACTAGAGAAGAAGTGCAGAGTGGTCACCAGCCTGCCTCCCCTACGGAAAACCTGTAATTAGTTAGAAATGCATAGTGTGTAGAGGAAGAGGGGGATTTTTTTTTTTTTTGAGTGAGGGGGCACAAAGAAGGAGTGGTGGAGAGGTGGGCAGAGCACCGGATTTCTTTTCTTTCTCTCTCCTGTTGTTTCCAGTCAAGCCCTGTTTCCATGGCAACCTGCTGCCGGAGACAGGGAGACAGCAGTGAAAGGAGAGGGTACCCACCCTCTCTTAGAGAGGATGGCCAACCTGTGTGTGTGTGTGTGTGTGTGTGTGTGTGGTGTGTGTATTTGTGGGCGAGTGGAAGTCTGAATGCATGCTACTGTTTTTGTATCTATGTTGAAGGTGTAAGTATGACAGAGAGTTGCATCATTGGTAATGGATGTTCTGTTTGGATTACACCAAAAAAGGCTAACATTAGCTCTTAACTGTCAAAATGAAACTTGTTAAAATGCAATAGGCTTTAATAAGTGACTCTCTTGGTGTCAAAAATCTATTTTTCTCAGAACCAACCAAACGACACTAAGTTCCATTTTTTCAAATTGGTTAATCTGGATAAGAATGAGCCTGATCTGGAAAATCTTTAAGACCAGTTGACAACTCTACTTTATCTAGTGTGTCAAAGTAGCATGTAAGCACTTACTGTAAGTATAAAATATTTCAAAGAATGTGTCAGTTATAAACATCATTGTTAAACTGCTGTGTTAATTGACCAATTTAAGTTTTATAAAAGATAATTGTGATATCCTGCCTGAGCCCACACCTCTGCTAGAATCAGAAAAAATCTTATTTTTTCTAAGTTTTCACAATATTCAAATTTGAAAAACACAAATTAGGGTTCTAATGCTTGGAAAAACAAGGATTTCCTGGTTTGACAAATTTGTAGTCCTATTATTATCTGCACAACCTGTTTTTTATGTCAAATTTAAACCAGTCTGAAGTATTTTAACCAATAAGCATTTTCTAGATAAAGGGTGACCGTATTATTGTGTCCTTACAAAGACATAATACTTGGTGGCGGATTATTAATTTTTACTTTACTGACTTTGGGAATTTGTATTAAGATGTTGTCATCATGTAATAAACATCTAAATGTACTGTTTGTCATCTGGTTGCTAACTCATTAAAAGTGACTGTATCCACCACACCCAACATCCCACACTCTTTCACCCCTGTCCCCTTTGTGTTTGGTGGCTTCAGAGCTGGCCAGAGCTGAGATTGGACTGTGTGTATATATATATGTGTGTGTGTGTGTGTGTGTGTGTGTGTGTGTGTGTGTGTGTGTGTGTGTGTGTGTGTGCATGCGAGCATGTGTTTGTATAAGTGCCACCCATCTTCAATATCCACCCACACCCTCTTATGCAACTTTTGTTTTTCCTGTCCTTTCCTCTCATCTCCTTAGCGTTTAAAACGCCCATCTCTGAGGGGATCACCCCACCCAGCCGGCCAAGTGTCCGTCTAAAAACAAGCTTCAGTGACACATATCTGTTTGTTTTGTGTGTACATAATGTGCATGCAGATATGCGAGTCAAAGTGTGTTTGTTCTTCCTGCAGGGATTCACAAGAAGCAACCTCCTTGAAAACCAACAGCTGCCTTGTGCACGCCTCAGAGTTGGACAGAAACACCTTCAGTAGATCCACTCCCAGCGGCTGGCAGTAAAACCACACCCAGAGAGAAAAGCCAACAACACAGTCTAAGCCAGGCCACTGAGGTCTAATGCTCAAAATGCCTCACATGTTTACTTCTCGTCAGAAAAGACAGTAGGGCATCTGTGCAGACATATATAGCATCATAAACAGCTTTGTCATTGAGAGATTTCAAATCACATCACACAGGTAGAACACATCAACAAGGACCTGTCTTTGGAGTCCTTTTATTTCAACCTGAAATTACCTAATCAAAGATGTAACATTTTGAAAGGGTTTACAAAAAAAGCTTTTAGGATGTTTGATTTTTCTACTTAAGTTTCTGAGTAGATAGGGCGACTGTTTATCAGAGCCAGAAACCCAATAGACGTCATGTTTCTGTCTCAAACTAGGGCAGGTTTGAGAAAACAGCAAAAAGTCTGCATCCCATGACATCATCATTTCCTCTAGAAGTCAGTTAGAGAAACACAAGAAACCACCAAGGTCATTATTTGTTTCTGTTTTGAAATGTTTCAATACAAAAACGTTGTCTTCATAAAACCCAGAAAACTACGGCCCCGAACTTTTCCAAAATCTGTAGACATTTTATTCTTACATTGCAATTTCAAAACACTTGCACACTTGCACAAAAGACGCAAACAAAGAAAGAGTTTTGTAGCATGAAGTCCCAAACAGTCGTATTTGTTGCATGCCGTATAAAAATTATATATTTTCAGTGTTTGTCCTTTCAGAGTTGTGTCCCTCGGGCAAAAAAAAAACACCTTTTTTTAAAAGCTTTTTTTAGAAGTGAAAAGCTGACTTATCTTTGAACAATAAAAGAAGAACATTTTCCAAAAAATGAAATCAGACAATAAAAGAGAAGTCGTCCCCCACCCCCGACTCCCGCTTGTATCTAAGAAGGGTTGAGCACCCCCAGGACCCATTAGGAGAAAAAAGAAACATTGCTCTATAACAGTGATCAATTTAAATGGTTTCAATTGATACAATCAATAGAGACGTAACAGGCATACACAGGGCCTTTTCTAACCTGTGCTGTTGTAATTAAAATGTGCAAATGTGGAAATCTAATTTTGACAAACAAAGAGTGGCCCCCCCCTGAGATCTTTGGATCACGCCAATGCATGCCTGGGGTTTTCATTGGTCCCCAACAACTAAACTTAAAGGATAATACTCTTATTGTTATCATAAATGTAAGTATAATGTTTCATTGTAATTGCAAAAAAATATGTTATTCCTTACTGAAATGAATATTGCTTAATAATCCTCCTCTTCCCTGCACTAGCTTAAGTTTGACTATGCATTAAAATACATATCTGTTGTGCTTTTTTCGGTTATTGTATCTTCAGATGCAACGAGGGACACATTTGTTTTTATTTAACTAAGCAAAAAAAAGATCTAATATGATCTTATATCTACATTGTAGATTTTAAAATTTAATCAGAATGGAGATGAATTTATTCTTAGATTTTATGTCCGTTTGTTAAAGGTTTATGCCTGCCTGATATGCCTTCTAGTTAAATATTTCTGGTAGTTTTAAGTTTCAAATCATTGTTGGAACACCTATCACATCCACTCCTAACTTGAAATGATGAAACGCTTGAATAGGAATCCCAAAAGAACCCAGTCAGCCATATGAATATGGAGAGAATTCTGAGTGTGGTCTCACCTTTGCCCTGGCTTTTGGCCTCGTCCAGCAGAGGTAGCATGATGGCGTTGTTGAGCCTGGAGGGGGATCGAACAGCGGTGGTGTACATGAGGGGCAGTGACTGTACCACAACTGGGATGCGGTGAACATGGCTGGCCAGCTTCCCCACTCCCTGCAGGCCCAGAGGGCTGGACGGAGGCGGCGGCACAGAGTGCAGGATGTGCAAATAGGGCTGACCTCTGACCCCAGATCCAGGGGCGACTAGAGGACCTGGCGTGAGCACCGACGAGGCGGAGGTGATGACTGATGGAGAAGAGGAGGAGGAGGAGGATGACGACGATAATGAGGAGGGAGAGAAGGCGGATCGTAGAGGGGAAGAAGAGGAGGTGGTGATAGGAGTGGTGGATGAAAAGGAGGGGCGGGGTTTGTTGATTGACAGGTCGACGGGCTCGGTCTGTGTGTGGAAGTGCAGGTCGTGAGCGAGCAGGTCTTCTGGTGGCTCAGGTTTGACTCTGCTGAGGAAGAAGGGGACGCCGTCCATCGCAGAGTAAGGGCGCACTTTAGGTGACTGTGGGAGAGAAGAAAGAGCCTTTGTTAGAAACTTGAGACTTTTCAAACAGCAGTTTGAAATCGTTTTTTTCAGCCCAAACTTGATTTCTCCATCACGAGGTTTTGTTGCGGTTTAACCTCTGTCAGTTACTGTAGAAGTAATAGCTGCTTTGCAACGCTGTGCTATAACAATGGAAACAATAACCTTCATTTGTAGAGCACTTTTAAAAAATCAAAGTTTTAAAGTGCTTCATGGAGGTGGTAAAAGAAAAAAAGGCTTTTACATTCAATTAATATCTGTTCTTTTCTCTCCAGTACAAGACATGTTAATAAAATCAGGTCATAGACAGTTGTTTTTGTGGGAAAATGTTCAGTTCCAGGAAGAAAGATACAGCATAAAAGACACACGTTCGGAAAAGGTAGAGTGAGAGAAAGCAGTCAATTTTGCTCATGTTCATTCAAGCGTTCATCCTCCTGAGTTAGCATGATGTCACACACTGATGAAGCGCAGGAGTAAAGATAGTCTCTCACAACCGCCCTCGTTCGCCGTATCCTTCCCCTCTTTCTTTTCTCTCTTTGGCGTGGGTTGCTCTCTCTCTCTCTCTCTCTCTCTCTCTCTCTTTTCCTGCTGTTTTCCATCACTCCCACAGAAAACCGTCGCTCTCTTGGCTCCCCTCGTATCTCTCCTGAATCTCCTTTGTGACGGTGGAAAAACATCATATGTGCTCAATTTCCTGACCGTCTCTCTCTCTCTTTCTCTCTCTCTCTCTTTCTCTCTCTCTCTCTCTTTCGGTGATGGGCCTCCTAAGGCCAACGCTGGTGGCTCAGTGTATCCCTCAACACATCTTACACTTAACACCAAGCAGACTGTAACGCAATCTCCATCTGTCTGCACAAGTTTCAGGAACCTGTTTACTCGGAAAAAGATAATGAAGAACATACACAGTAGAAAAATGACACCCGGGGAACTATTAGCTAATTTGTTGCACCTGAATTCCAAACATTGGACCGGCTTTTCTCTCTTTATTTTTGCTTTTTAAAGTCATACGAGGCTCTTTAAATGGAGATGTCGCACATCTAGAATGACTAGGTTGGATGTGGGAGGGGTACTGGACTGTATGGCGAGCAGTGTTGATACTCACAGTGGAGCCTTTCAGAGGCTGAGTCACAGTCAGAGCCATCAGGGAGCGAGCACATCCAGGATTTTTTACTAATCATGCAGGAGAGAGTCATAGGGAAAAACTCAACCACACAGCTGCAGCAGATATAAAGAAATGTGGATTTTCCTCCTTGCTTTTGTTTTTGAGACCCACATTTCTTTCCCCTTATGTAATGCTGGCCTAGAGAGGATCTGTGGCGAATTACGGATCTTTCTGACTGTTCTCTCTTTTACGTAGTAGCTCATACTATTTTTACTCCAGACTTGTTCGACTGGACTACAGGAAATGTTACGACCCCATGAATCCCTGCTTCTCCCTGAGTGACTCCTCCTCAGTTGGAAAACAAACCCAACCCCATGAAATATACCCTCACGTGACCCCTAGTGACCTCTGCACCTCAGTGGGGTTCAGCTCGGGGTCGGCGGTGTCAGGTCAAGGCTCACAGCATGTTAAAGTCCGAGTCATTCCACAAACCACCCACCATGCGTTTATTTATTTTTTACACACCTTTGTGTTTGTAATTATGCTCTCAAATAATCTTTTTGTAACAATCACGGGAATATGAACAAACAAAGGTACGACTAAGCGTTAACGCTTTGTGAAAAACTGTATGAGACGATTATTCCTGATGTTGTTTTTAGGCAGAGACACTTCCCTCAAGGAACTGACCATTTATAGCAAATAGTTTGAAGTTATATTTGGCAAAAAAAAAAAAAAAAAAGACGCTTTGAGGCAGCTCTCAAATAATCCAAACTGCAGAGAGGATTCAGCAGGGGGAACATAATCCCCACTTAATAAAGAAATACATACATAAAGGAGAAGTCAACAAAACCAAAAGCTTCAGAACAACAGGAGGAGGCTGCTGGAGGATTGTAAAGGCTACACTGTGTGCTCTGACTATATGATTTGATTTGAGTTCTTAGCCACACAGCTAATGAACCAGCCTCTGGTAATAAAGCATGAATGAGGCAAGCTCTACTTTTTTTATTGCTCTGATTAAATTAACTCAGTTCTGGGTTGTAACCATAAGCTGTAAGGTTGTTTTGTCCCCTCCTACGGCTAATATGTCCCTGGGGCTGAAGTTAAAGCTCTGATGGGTGGAGTCCTACAAGGAAAGTTACATGACAGCAGTGACACAGAGTTTGTAAGACAAAGACTTCCATGAGAAAAATTTTATTTCCACTGTATTCAGAGCTGAAGTATGTGTGGCCACTTGTAATTTTTCTGTTAGTCAGTCAGTGTTGACCCTCGCGTGACAGATGAAACTTTAGTTTTTACTTAATTTTAATTTTAATTTTTAACATACTTTATTATGTATCCTGCTCAAACAGGATATGGACATGCATTAACGGAGAGATGTCAGAGTTGGGCTTCTACGCACTGCTACACTAGAGCTGTTGGAGGTTCGGTGCCTTGCTCAAGGAACCCTTGACAGTTCTCGGGAAGTAGCCTCCATGGCACCTCCAAACTTCAGTCTGACCCTCCTGTTCCCAACACAAGTCCCTACAGTCTGAGCTACTGCCGCCTCCACATAAGGTTCCCCTATGTAGCATTCATAAGTTAGTTAACAAACTTTACAAATGTATAGGTGCATGCCATGAATTGTATTTTATTATGAATATAAAGCAGCTGTTGGTATCTTTATTCTATGAAGACTTGTAGATGTTATCTATACTTGGTGCTGTAATAACAGAGGCCCTAAGCAGACATGTATCCATACATTTTATTAACTCTGTTTTCCCTTAATAAAGAATACTTTCTGGTAGTTTTCTTACTTATTTTCCCATATTCTCAGAGTCGCAAAGGCACAACACAAACATAGTAATGCTCAACTTAACGCATTAGTTTGGGCAATGGCAGCAGCATGGCACGTTGTGTTGTAGTCTATCAGCTCAGCCCTGTTGTTTAGTTGTCTCAATCGCCAAAAAGTTTTCCTGTACTCATGAGAAAACAGCTTTATAATTGCAGGCTAATGAGATAAATAAATCTGTTATAATAGGCTAACCAGCCTTTTATCTAGAGATAACAAAAAAAAGTCAAAATGCTCATTATCAGCAGGAAACTATACAATTTTTATCTCAAGATAATGAAAAAAAAGAGGTCAAAATCTCAGGAAAACAACCCAAAATCACTTGTTATCACAGGAAAGTTCATGAAGTGTATGACTGCATGTCAGCTTCTGTAGTATATATTTTATTATAATAAGTCATGTGGCAACAAGAGAATATTTGCTTTTAAGGATTTTAGGATCCTTTGGGAGTGCAAATAGAAAACAACGAGCTTCTAGAAAAGCAAGTTGATCATGTTACATAACTAAAGTACAATCTGCCTTTAAACTGTGGACTAAAGTTTCTTCCTTAAACTATATTTAAGATCTTCTTCAAGGAAAAAACTAATTAAAGATTTTCCTTTAATTGATTTGAGGAAATTGTCATATGCATACAATCCCATCTTCTCAAAACAGCATTTTACACCACACTGGGTAGCTTCTTTTTCCCCTTTTATCTATGAATCATGTTTAACACATCATTGGAGAGTTAACGATCTTTTAGTTAGTTTGTCTTTCTTAAACTAAATTCATATCTTACTATAGTACATATTCTTTATAAGGCCATGCTGCTTGAACTGCCTCATATCTATGTTCTCTACTGACAACTCAAACTATCAGCAGCTGAACATTTTTGTATTGCAAACAAATTATGTCTGAAAACACAAATTATTTAGCAAAAGTTTCTTAAATAGTTTAGTCCCTCATTTCTGCAAGAGCTGCAGACAACTTGCACTAATTTACTTCATTAATTGATTGACTTAGATATTTATTCATCACAGATAAACATTAAATTTAATAAAAACAGGATTAAGGATTTATTGGCCAGTGAATAAACATCTCCTGTTGTTAAATTTTCATTTTCATTGCGTGATTTAATATTATTAAGTGTAAATCTGTTGAACGTTCTTTTATGTGAAGCTCTTTTTTGCTGCTGTCTTGGTCAGGACTCCCTCGTACAAAAGATTGTACATCTATATGGTAATATTATTGATAAAATAAAGGTTAAATAAAGTAATTCCAACACAGTTTCCCTTTGAGTGTGCATTATCCTGCAGGTTTCCATTAATGAGTGTCCACAGCAGGCGCCCTAGTTATGAAAGAAATGGTGAAACACTTATATCTGTTTATTGTGCTAAAAACCAATTATTAAACGTTTATACATGTTATTAAAACTGCATATGAAGACTTTAAGAGTTGCCTCAGAATATAATGTGGTCTCTCTGCACTTCAAGATTCCTCCTTCAGGCTATTCAGTTTCTTATTTTATTTTGTTCCTGGCTGTATATTGAATATAAACCTACAGCATTTTCTCTGCAGCTGCTGATCCACAACTCTACCTTGTCAAATGAAATAGTATGAGTTGATAATATGTATGATTGTGATGTCAAATGTCCTCTGTGCTTTTCTTACATCAACTATGGCATCAGCTTCATGTAGTCTTTCTTGACAGACCCTCGGGCGATCATCCAGCTGCCTCTGCACGCTCTCTCTCTCTCTCTGTTTGCATGTTCTGTATAGGCTGCGAGTGTCACGGACCGCCTCCAGCTACACTGCCCGCAGGCTTTGAAGTCATTACAGCCATTGAGACTGATCTCAGAGCTTGGAAATCTTGTTTTTTTCCCTCTACAGTGTGTTCTAGATGGCCTGAAGTTCTGCAGTATACTGCCGGTTCACCCTGTCACTGAAAGGAGAAGGAATGAAAAGAGAAAACTAAAGAAAATATAAATGTTTCAAACTCCAGTGTCATTGAATTATCTTCATTACATTTGAATAATATACTGGACAGATTTATTGCTCCAGTCATAAATACGAGTTATGTTTGAAGTTAGATACACACATCATCATACAATTTAATCCTGAATAAGAGCCTAAATAATCCACATTGGCTGTCCAATGATTTCAGTTCTCAATTGGGATTAATCACAATATTTCAGTAGTTAATCAAGATTAATTACACTTTTATTAAACGCATTTTAAATTCCATTATTTCGCATTTGAAAATAAAAATTGCTATGCTTTTATTTTGAAATTATACACAGTCAGCTGAGAGTACTTCACTTGCTGTGTGAATTCAACCCTTGTTTCTTCAAACCCATGTTTCGGATCAAATCTAAATAAAAACAGCTTAAAGGAACTGTAACAAAGTGAAATGTTTGCTATGGGTGGATATTAGTTTTGACTCATTAACTGAGCTGTCAAGGAATTCTTTAAAGTGAAATGATTCATTCAAAGATGCAGCAGTGATGTTTTCTCCAATGCTGTGACTACAGGTAGATACGGTGAAGACTTATCCATCAGTAATTGAGTTGAATTAATTATACTGAGGTTAACAGCTACAACCCTTGTTATCATTGTGCTACTGATGTCTTTGACTGTGGTTAAGGCAGTGTAACATAATTATTCCTTGACCTTACTCATTGTTTGAATAAAAGGAGGTGAAAGTGAATTAAGACGTGTCTGGTTGCTTAAAGCGACTCTGTGTTTGGTTTTGCCAAACAGCAGCCATCATGTTAAACGGAATTCAAGCTATCTGTTCTCATACAGTTTTTCCCACAAACGTTGTCCTTCAGTGATCTGACTGAAAACTAGTTAAGCTCACGACATTCAATCAGTAGGGTTACATGGCGCTAGAAATTCGCATTTCTGATCGTATCAGACACTGTTTGGACTTTTTAAATGCATGTAAACATCTTAGTCCGACCTACATCGGACCAAAATCGAACCATAACGGGACATCTCATTAATCGGAAAAGAACACCTAGATAAGTCGTTCATCGTCGGCAAACTAACGGCATGTAAACTCAGCCAATCGTATTATTATTGGATTTTTGTTTGTTAGTTGTCTTTTTCCAATACAGTCTATCCATTGTGATACGTTTTTTGGAAAATGTTTGCCTAGATTTACAAACAGAGTCGTCATTAGCTAGCAAACAAAGCCAATAGCATGAGCCTAACAGCAATTTAAGTTGGCTAACATTAGCTGACTGTGTGACCATGTGTAAAGTTGTCATATTTTATTAAGAATGAGAGCTACATACCATTCATAATTCTGTATAATTAGATTTTTGACCTATGTTTGAAATCTATCTCACTGTACTGGCTCTCTGCCTCATTCAATGTTCTGTAGCCCAATCAGCTAGCGTAAGGGTGTTAACTGTGCTAACACAGAAGGAAGACAACAAGCTAGCTGTGGTAAAACTTAAAAGAATCAAACCGAAAACACTTTGAGAAGTATTATGAGGAGGTATTTCTGATAAATAAATAGAACAGACATAGAAATAGAAAACCTAAGCTTGTAACTGCCTATCAGAAATGTTAGCTTATGAAGCAGTGCCGCTTATCTTAAGAAGAACACCAGCTCTCCAAAGATTAAGCATAGAAAGATTGATCAAAGTAAAAGTGATAACTCATGTTTTCATTTTGTTTTGTCAAACACTTTTCCCCTATATGGACAATTTTTTTTATAATAAAATCTACATTTTATTTGCCAAAGAAAGAAATCTGCCATCTCATTGTTTAAAAGTGTTAGGCTGACTTTTCATTGTTGCTTTTCTTTTTGTTGGAGGAATAATAGTCTGTTACTAGCAGCCTGGAAAAATTGACGGTCCTGTGAGGCTCCTGTGTAAACACACTTCCGATTCAAGGTCAAAACAACACAGTGTTTAGTGTTACATAAAAGTGAAAAAACAGATATTTGCATTTTGGGTTCATGACACAACTCAACTAAAAACTTGAACCACTTCCACTCTGATTCCGACTGATGCACACACACGTACGTAAGCTCCTCACACGCCGACACACATAATAAAGATAGTCTCGACCCGCCTGCATGCCTATGTCCTCGTGCCTCTGTCTTTATTAGGGGATACTGGTTAGCGGGGCAGATTTTCCAGCCCCTTGCAGGAGAATTGTCTAACGAGGCGGACCATTTCCAGCAAGCCCTTGGCCCCCCGCCACCTAAATGAAGACCACATTTCTGCAGCAGCCTAAACTGTCTGTCTGCCGTTTAAAGGGAAGCACACAGTGTTACAGGGCAAGATTGGATCTTGGTGCACTTCAAAGCCGTGTGGGCTGCAGTGCTCACATCCTGTCTGCGACTGACATCACTGTAAGTATGGAGAGTGACTTCAAACGCCAGGTATTAGGTAGCTCAGCTGAGAGCAGGACACCCACAAAGAAACCACCTGCTGCCCCTCCATCAAGTCAAGAGAGATGGATTCAATTCTTATCAACACAAAGCACTCATACACTGCCGAACAATTCAAGATTGCTGCTAACCTGATGGGTTATCAGCAGCTGCTATTTTTCTCATCTATCATGCGCTCATGCTCCGGTTTTCATCGCAACAGAAACTATTTCGCTCTTCTCCCGCAGAGTGCTCCTGTAACATATTAGGGGCCTCGTTATTATTGATATGTTATGAATGGAAATCAATAGTAACTGAAAACTAATTCATCACGATAACAAATATTAACTGACCTGCACCCACTGCATACACACACACACACACACACACACACACACACACACACACACACACAGCTGTGGCAGCAACACAAAGCCCCTGTAACCTAGCAACAGCCTCTCCATAACAAGACCACTTTATTTCTAGGTATGTTGGACCAGAGAGCACTGATGCTGCTTTGTATGTGGGCCAAGAAAACCTGCATGAGGTAACGCTGTTATTCCTAACAGGGCCAATGGACACAGTTTAATGCTCAAAATTAAAGTCAGTAGGGGCTTTCAATAAAAGTTTTATTATTGCATCTTTTGACAAAGACACAAGTATTGTCCTAATTTTTAAAACAATTCTGATACAAGCGGTTACATACCAACTCAGAGATTTTATTGTATTTTTTTAAAAGACTTTACATGTTTATCTCATGCGGCTCTTATAGGTCAACGTGTCTTTAACATGACTTTGCATGCTGATGCTCGGTCTTTTAATCCATTGTTCTATAGTACTGCAATTCATCGCAATCTTTTTTTGCATCTCATACGTGATCTTGTTACACATCAAGCCAGCCAACTACAGCGAATGAAGTTCAAAGAAAGTTTCCAGATATTCAATGACCCATGCTGCAGAAGGGATCATAATGTTTTTTTGGTGGTCACTTTGGGGTTTTTCATGATGAAAACAACGTTGTCGTTTAAGTGCTCAAAAACTTCCCTGAAATGGAACCAAGGTGATCTTTTTGGTTTTTTTTTCAAGGAAGCTACCCCTTTGTTTCAACTGTTTGCTAACACTTGGGGCAGGTTGTGAAAACTTAAATCAACTGTTTGTTTTCCTGTTTGCATAGCTTAAAGGGATACTTCACCCGTTGAAACATGAATCTGTATTGACATTGGGTCATATATGTAGTAGAAATGTGAAATAGATTTTGAAGTTGGTGCGTTCTTCGGCCGAGAAAAGGCAGAAATTGTCTTTTTGTCCGCAGCAGCGGCCTGTCAGCAGCAGCTGTCTCGCCGCTATATTTATATTTTCGCCATTATTAGCTTTCTCCACAGAGCCTGTAAGCATAGCTTCCAAGCAATATGGCGGACGTTAAGTTTCGATTCTGGGAGTGAGGTCCCACCCACTGATCTGTGATTGGTCTGTAGCTTCAGTGGTTGAAAATATGAGGAACTAGCATTGTAGTTTCACACCGCTAACCGCAACAGCTTCCAGTGACGCAATATGACGATATTTGCATCACTGGAAGCTCCTTCTCAGACTTCTCAACTTTCCAGTCTCAGGGGGTAATGAGGGCTGGATGCTCAACCATTCAAAAATACTACCAATTTACTACTGATACAATGCTTAATGCAAATGGGTGAAGTATCCCTTTAAGGTTAGAAACTCCCAAACTGACTGTCTCTGCCTTTCAGCTAACAATGTTACAATGTAACAAGGTGCAATTTCTCTTGGCATCCAAATCACAAATACCACTAAACATTGTCACACATGGGTTAATGTTGAATTTGCGTGTCTCTTGTGGAACCCTGAAGGGTCTCTAGGTTGTCTTTATGAGATGTGATGAAGTGTATCTGAGGAATGAGAGCTGTCTGATCCATATATATGGATGTGTTGTTAAACCTCCATCTTTAAGTAAACAAAAGTTTCCTCATGCAGACTTAAAAAAAGCCTACAAAATGTTAGGTCACTTCTTCTCTGTGATGGTTTCATATTAAGGGAAGAAAACAACACAGAGTTGACAGAGAGCGCTGAGAGAGTAGAGGCGTGCGTGAGAACAACGGAGGAAGAGATGGAGCTGAGATAATGTTTTAGAAAAGAGACTTAAGTGTCCTATGTGTGTGTGTGTGCAAAAGAGAGATTATTCAAGTGTGTTGTTGAGAAAGAAGGGTATGGGAGGAAGAAGAAAAACTGAGGGACGTACAGGGGCAGGAAGATACAGAAGAAGATAAGATTTAAGAGTTTCCCATGTGACCCTCCTCCTCCTCCTCCCCTCTCTGGAGTGGTGACTACATCTGCACAATCATCCTCATCCAGCACGGACTCTGTGCCGGCTCTAGTCGCCTCCCCGAAACTCCCCAATGCATTCCTGCTCCAGCTGTGCCTCTCCTCCTCCTCCTCCTCCTCTCTTGCTTCTGGGTTTTTGCTCTTCTTCCTGCTTACTACCATGCTCTCCGACCACTCCTCTTAGCCCCCACACTCACTTACTTCTTCTCTCTCCTTCTCTTGCTCTCTTGCTCACTTGCTCAGGCCTGGGAGTGATTATCGGCCCATTGCCGGGAGGAGGAAAGACGGAAAGGGAAAAAAAATAAGGGAATTGTCTGGAAAACAACTGCTCTCTTACCCCTTGTTCCGATTCCAGGGGCTCGGCTTTGACTCGGACCGCAGGCATTCCGTCAAGCATTAACATCCTGTTTCTTCGGCTGCCTGTGAAGGGATACAGAGGAGGTGTAAGACGGGTGTTTTAGCATGACTAAGCAGGTCCCACACTCGCAGTTATTCACACATGAACATCAACAATGATGAGCACCCACTAAGAGATAAACACATTTTAAATAGACACACATTTTTAATGCTTCAAAACCATCAGAAGCTGACAGACAAAAAAGATTGCACACAAACTGTGTAAACTCAGGCAGTGCACAGCTTGACTCCTTCCTCCATGTATTTAGGATTTCCAATTGCCTGGTGAGCTGTTGCAAGGCTAATAACACTTCATAACGTGGAATAAAATCCTCTTAAGACTTCAATAGAATACAAATACTTGCTTTGATATTCGGTTACTTAACAGCAACCGGGACAACATTTTCTCTGCAAACGCTGAAATAACTGAAACTCGGAAAAAGAAAAGTGGAAAAACTGACACGTTTGACATGTTTGTAATATAAATATCAAAATGTGGCACAAGCATGCAAACACACGCATTAACAAATAACTATTTTAATTTGTATAGAAAAATAAAAACAAATCATCTCTTTACCCTTTCTATATAGAGCAGGTCTAGATTGTAGTATTCGTAATATTGCTTAGACCGGCAAAATAAATCCTCTATAGATCCATGAAGAAGAAATACTTTCTTTAAAAGTTAGAGACCTGAGCACAACCAGACTCAATGATGCAAAGCATAGACTTTATAAAAAAGATGGACGACATGAAAGCGCCCCAAAAGCGAAGCAAAAACATTCAGAGCTCCTCCTACTAACTGGCTGCAGCATGGGTCATAAACTTCACCTTCTCCATATTATTAGACGGGACAAACAAGCTGTTTTCTTAAACATGGTTTCTGTCTTTAAAGTAAGCTCTTGTGGTGCTGAATTCTGTCCAAGATTACTTTTTTCTAAAAATGCCAGCTTTAATTAGCTACTTGATGATATACAAAAGAGTAAAACGTCATGATTGACAGCTCTGTTGACAAATGCGGCTATAAAGGAGGAATGGTGAATGGAAGTGTAACATACCCATACACAGGACTTATTGAACTTTCCAAACCTGAGAGTGTATGCTTGAAACCAAGACAAAAATCTGTTCTGCTGTGGCCTGTACCAATCTGACGGGTCTTTGCTGTGTTAGGTTGTGCATTTTGGTTGTCCACAGGGGCGGGACTTAAATAGCACAGCCAGATCTACCGTGCATATTTGGCTTCAAAAGATGTCACTAGCGAAATATGTCAGCGCCCATCTTGGGGGTATTTTGGCTTCACGTTTGTAAAAAGGGAGAAGTTGGAGACATGTGGTCCATCTTTATATGCAGTCAATGGTGGAAAGCTTAGATAGGCTGCGAGGAGAAAGTGAGATAGAGGGAGAGACCGAGAGGGAGGAACAAGTAGACAGACAGGAAGATGAACACATAATACAGACAATAGATCACTCAATTTAGAGTATCAATGCCGATAATGATAGTAAATATATGAGAAATAATTAAATATATGTTATGTTTGTATTAATATACTATAAAGAAAATGCATCCTTAATAGTAGCTCCATTCTGTTGCTTTAAGAGGGATACTCAGATGGAGCCAATGACAACAATGCATGTTCCGTATCCCCTCAGCTGGGGCCGACCTGAGGTAACCCTCCCTCTTATTATTTTAGCAGCAGTACATGGAGGAATGCAAGCACGGCAGATAGACTCTAAACATCTCCATTACTCTCCACTGCTGGCACCAGCAGCAGGATGTGTGGCCCAGTTCCTTGCATTCGACAGCCACCGCCGCAGCCACCGTGACCACTCTAGTGCGGAGAGAAGAAAAGCTGAGCCAATCAGGAATGACATATAGCCTTTCTGTGCGTCCTATCCCATGATCCTCTAACTATGCAGACCATCTCAGATGTAACAGAACATCCCCGGGGCGTCTCAAACAATCAAGATTTTTTTTACTCACCAGAAAATCCACTCAAGATAGTGATCAAAAACATTTCTTTTTACAGATTCCAATGAAAGTTGTGACAAAAAAAAACTCATTTATTGCTCCACTGCCTCTTAGATTCCCCAGCACAACCCCTTATCCTGACTGTGTTTGTGTGTGAGGGAGGATGAGAGAGGGAAGGGAGGATTTACTCTCTCAATCTGCAACCCCCCCACCACCACCACCACCCATCCAACCGCCCAACCACCCCCAGATCTCGCCTCTCAGGTCTAAGTCCCTCAGGTACCCTGGCTGTGCTGTGCTGCTATTGTATTGTTGTCCAGGATGTCCTTCGGCTTCAGGTCTTTTGGTAGGCCCAGATAGGGTTGCCATGGCAACGGCTGTGCGGGTGGAGCTGCAGCCTCAGTCCAGCCTCGAGACACGAGTCGAGGAGAAGAAGAAGGAGAGGCGAGTGCACAGAGAGGGGCAAATAAAGTGAGGGTTTTGTTTTTCCTCAAGATGACCATCTGTCTTGCATTGGTCTAAAAAGTCTGGTTTTTATCATTTTGACAATTAACTTCATAAAAATTATCTTAAAAGGTCCTCAACTGTATTTTATTAAGCTTTTATTAAACAGATTTTTTTTAAGGCATCTTATTTGCTCTTTTGATGAACCAAAACTTAAATATGTCCAGACAGCTAAATCACGATAGCTTGTTTTGTTTAATTTGCCTTTATTTCTATTTTGTGTGTTGTTATCATCTCTTACAGGGGGTTTATTTTATAATTTATTTCTTGAAATCAACTTAGATATTTATGTTTACACTTTTCACATAGGTGTGGCTTCTAAACATGCTTCTAACTTAACTTAAAATGGAAAGTTACATTTTTTTGTTTTGCTACATCAGCATATTTTTTCTCTTTTTTTTTTGGTGTGTTTTCGTTGGTCTGGTTTTTTTCAGTCATGCCACCTCGGCTCTGGAACAGTCTTTTTTCCATCCGTTCAGCTGACTCTGTTTCTGCTTTTAAAGCCAGCCTTAAAACTCATTTTTACAGACTTGCATTTATAGCTGACAGATCATTTATCAGAGCCGGCGTGCATATTTTACACTAACTCTGTTTTAATGTTTTTTTACTTTCATTTGTCTTTTGTTTTAACTTTATGATTTGTTGTTGTTTCTGTATCTGAAATTGTGATCATCTTTTTTAAATTGCTTCTGTATCGCACTTTGTACACCCGTCTTGAAAAGTGCTCGACAAATAAAGTGTTATTATTCTATATTTTAGTTTTTATCCCTTATGTTGGTTTTGGGATTTTATGATGCATCTTAAATTACTCAGCCTCTAAAATACTCAGGGTCAGGAGTTGTGCTGGGGAAGAGATGGTCAAGTGTGACCATCTCTTTTAAGGGACATTCATCAATGTATTTGTTTTCGATGCTTAAATCAAACACGTCTTGCACATTTCTAAGAATCCACAATCTTTCCCAGTGTGCCTCCAGTCCAGATAATCCACTCGTTTGTGATCACCTTCCTAATGAACTGGCCTGCAGAAGCTTGCTCATAGGAAATCAATAGCCCAGTGCATACCTCTGCTAGTGGCTGTAATGACAGAAGAGCTAACAGCAGTGAGATAAACCTGAGTAATGAGCTAACAGAGGGGCACTGCGCGTCGAAGAGGTCACGTTGAAAAGCTTTGACAGGAGTCTACCGTCGACTGCTCCCATGAAAGGATCACGACTGCCGGTTAGCGATGCACGAACCAAATAGATAAGATGAACAAAGATTAGGTTTGAAATGAAGAGAATTATTCCATGCTAGTAAACCAATGGAGACCCTGTGTCCTCTATCACTACATTTGGTGTGCAGGCTCAGGCAGCCAGCAGTGTGCTGTCCATCAGCGGTATGAGGTGAGGCTCGGTGTGAGGGAGATGGAGAGAGGAGGGGTGAGGAGAGGAGAGGAGGGGAGGGTTAGAGGGAAACAGGGTAGATTAAGATCACCTTTCCATTTGCTGCACTCTGAAATGAAATGGCCATCCCAGGTGTGTGGGGGAGTTGGATGGAGAAAGGAGGGCAGTGAAGTGTTGAGGCATCTCATTTCTCTCTACCATAACTCCACACACCCTCCCACCCCACCCCTCCTGTCCCCTCCACAGAATCAAAAAAAAGGAGCAGGTGAAGATTGAGGCCAGTCATAACACAAAATAATGCTGGTTAAAAAAAAAAATGCATATTTCATTGTCTGCTTCTCGCTTTGCTATTTTTCTTTTGTGCTTATTGGTGCGCCTGTTAATGCATTTCACAGTATGACCTGAAACTCCCACCACATAGCCACACAGATGACCTCAGGTCCACTGTCTGTGCGCTGATGGAGGTGATAGCAAAAAGCCGGAGAGGACGGATAAAGCAAAAAGCTGGAGAGGACTGGCTGGATTAATTAACAGGACAAAGCTCTGGACCTGACAATAAGGGGGAAATCTGTGCTGCGTCACAATATTATTCACAGTCTGGGTACCCACCTTTTGTGGAATGGGTGTACGCTCAGATTTGTCCCTATGCAGAATTTAAATATAGATGTCATTCTTCCATATCCAAGAGCAATGAAACTATTAAACAAATTGGGTAAATGTAGGCTTCTTGTGTCTTTCTGCTGCACGGTACCTATAACATTTCATCCATCCTGACTCTAAAATAATTGTAATAGGAGCTTTAACTTTCTATTGTGCTAAAAAAAAAAACAAGCAGTCGCCACTTAAGTGACGCAAACAAAACAACTTACAGTTTAGCTGATAGCTGGTGAATCATTTGATTGGCCAAACATTGTGCACGCTGTTCCAGTGTATCCAGCAGAATACCTGATACATCAGCATACTAAACTTGAATATGTTTCTTTTTTTTTTCTTACGCTTCTTGTGTGATATTGCACATGTTTACAATAAAAACACAGATGCGTTCTGCAGATGTTGAAAACACACATTCAGCTCAATGTGTATCCTGCATTTTCCAAGAGGAAAAAATCGAACAGACCTGCAAAACCAATCAGTGAGAGCTGGTTTCTGTCTTACTTCTGATTCAGCCTTAGG